TTTCACAGCGATCAGCGCTATATTTCCGCCCTCCAGTGTGGTAATAGGTTACTAAATAATATATGAATACGTAAGCACCTGCAAATATTTAAGTGTAACTCCCGCATCCGAGTACCTACGACAATATAATTGGTACCAATTTAAAGGTCAACCACTCCTCTTGGATATACTATCAACTTCTCGGGTCTATGTCCTTCAGTGGTAAATATATACGCTATAGAATACAAATTTTCTAATTTTTCACACAAAAGTTAGGGTCCATTTGACCCGCTAAATATTGACCGATCTTTATAAAAACAGGCATGCTTATTCTTTGGCCCGATCCCCTTCTCCATGCAAAAATTCGCGGTGATTGGCCCATAATTGCAGCATCTGGAGCGACCAGAAAAACCGATAAAAATAAAGTTTTTGGTCCATTTTATCCCCTAAATATTAACTGATCTTTTCCAAAAACAATAGGTGTCTTCATTGGCCAGAACCCATCCTACATGCAAAATTTCGTGAAGATTGGTCCATAACTGTGGCCTGTATCGTGTTTACAAATTATAATGGACAGACGGACGGACACACATATCTAGATCGACTCAGCTAGTCGAGATATGACGATCGATATTGGTCCTAGGCCCACCTTTAAGTAGGTGGGTCTAGGACCAATATTTCGCGGCGTTACAAACTCTTGGGGCTGCACAAAGCTATAATACCCTGACAACATAGTTGTGTAGGGTATAATTATAAAACGAAAATAATAATCCGTTGCAAATATACAACCTCTTCCGATTTTTTCTATTTTCTTTGCTATTGTCAAAAATTGTGCAGTATTGGATTTGGACTTAAAGAAATAACCTTATACCATATTATTGACTTAAACCTATGTCTTGTACCGTCTTCCTAGCAAGTTTTCGTTCTTCTTTCTGGCATTACTTACCAAATAGGCTTCAAACTTTTTGCTTTATGGGCATGTAGTTGCGACCAGAAGTTCGTCTTCTTGGAGAATGAAAATATTTTTTTCTATTGAGCATCATCAATGAGTATCCCATAAAATTTCACAGATCAAGTCAAGGCGTGGCATGTATTAGAAGGCATTTAAGAGATAAATCCAATCCATTAGAACTACCATCCGTACTGTGAGTAGGTGTTTATGTTTAGAGAAATCTTCAATCAACTGCTCATTTTAGTTTTAAGGCATATTTTCGGCTACCAAAATATGCCGTTGTGTACTTTGTTGAAGCATTAAACCCTGGTTTCCGAAAAGCCCGACTGTCAACAGCAATTCCTCCTCTATTTAAAGTGTGTGTAGCTCTAAGGTTTTTTTTTGCGGAGGCAATGACTTTAAACTTGGCATGGCTCAATCCACAATGTCGGTGGTTTTGACCGGAGATGTCCGGCTAATAGAGGAAAAAATTTATAAAATTTGGATTGTTTCTAAAATAACAGAGGAGGAAAAGGGGAAGAATATTTTTTTTATTCGAAAACAAAGTTCCCGGGTGTTTTCGAATGTATAGATGGCATACACGTAGATGGTCCCAAAAGAAGATGTTCGCCATTATGTAGTAATTTTAACCATTATTCCAACTAAATTTCAGTTCTTATTGCTAAACAGCAACAAAAAATAAATGGTTGCCGAAAAATTATATTTGAAGCAACTGAAGTTGAAAACAGTTGCCATCCATAATTCAAATTTGGCAACTGGCAACGCCACTAAACTATGGTTACTATCCGTAATCGAACCATTAGACTAGAGGTCTTTTTCTAAAGAAAAAAAAAATGGACCAGATTTCTCACAAATTTCTTTGTATAGAAAAAAAAAATTGGACCAAAATTCTCACGAATTGTTTTTCTATAGAAAACATTTGGACCCGATCTTACTATTTTTTTCTATAGAAAACATTTGGACCAAATGTTTCACGATTTTTTTCTATAGAAAAAACTTGGATGAGAGGTTTCTATAGAATCAACTTGAACCACAGTTCTCACGATTTTTTCTTTAGAATACAAATTTGGACCAGAAGTCTCACGATATTTTTTTTCATAAAAAACTTAGTGAACCCGATGTCTCACGATTTTTAAACCTTCACCACACTGTGGTACAGGCAAAAGGAAACGATATAGACACATGGTTCCTTCTGAGAATATGCATAGAATCACTTTCTAAGTCGATTTATGCATGTCCGTCCGTCTGTCCGTCCATGTTAAATTGTAAACAAAGTACAGGTCGCATTTATGATCCGAATTGGATGAAATTTGGCACAGCTCATTCATTTGGCCCAAGGACAAACCCCATTGAAATAGGGAAAATCGTGTGAGCTAAGTTTCGTGAAAATCGGTTCAGATTTAGATATAGCTCCCACATATATTTTCGTCCGATTTAAGGTAAATGGTGCACCAAAGTCCCTAAATATTAGGCCTAGAATGAAAATCGGTTCTGATTTCGATATAGCACCCATATATATTTTTTGTCCGATTTAAGGCAAATAGTGCACCAATGTCCCTAAATATCTTTCGATTTGCACGAAATTTGGCACAGCGTACTGAATTAAGCCTAGAATGATGTGTGTTAAGTTTTGTGAAAATCGGTTCAGATTTAGATATAGCTCCCATATATATATAAGGTAAATGGTGCACCAAAGTCCCTATATATCTTTCGATTTGCACGAAATTTTGCACAGTCTAGAATTATGTGTGTTAAGTTTCGTGAAAATCGATTCAGATTTAGATATAGCTCCCATATATATTTTCGTCCGATTTAAGATAAATGGTGCACTAAAGTCCGTTTATATCCTTCAATTTGCACGAAATTTGGTATAGCGTACTAAATTTAGCCTAGAATGACCAGTGGTGAGTTTCGGGTAAATCGGTTCAGATTTCGATATAGCTCCCATATATATTTTCTTCCGATTTTAGGTAAAAAGTGCACCAAAGTCCCTTTATATCCTTCGATTGGCACGAAATTTGGCATAACGTACTGAATTGAGTATAGAATGATGTGTGGTAGGTTTCGGAAAAATCGGTTCAGATTTCGATATAGCTCCCATGTATATTGATCCTATTTTACATAAACGGTGCACCAAAATCCTAATGTTTGATCGATTAATACGAAGTTTTGGATAACGTATCAAATTGGGGCTTGAATGACGTTGTAGCGTTTTGTTGAAATTGGTACAGATGCAGTCATAACTTTCATATGTATTTCGAACGGGTGTCTGATTGAAATTACATTTGTAACCAGACCAGAAGGCCTATTCTGTAACTTTTTAACAACATTCGACATTGTTTATTTTACAACAATTTCATTTGTTTGTTTTGTTGTTTTTACAATAACAAAAGAAAATTAAACAATATCGAATGTTGTTAAATGTTACAGAATAGGCCTACAGATGTCTCATGAATTTTTCTATAGAAAAAACTTGAACCAAAGTTCTCACGATGTTTTCTTAAGAAAAAAAAATTGGACCAGAAGTCTCACGATATGTTTTTCTATAAAAAACTTAGTGAACCAGAGGTCTCACGATTTTGTCTATAGAACACATTTGGACCATACGTTTCTCACGAATTTTTTTCTATAAAAAAAAACTTAGACCAGAGGTCTCACGAAAAAACTTAGACCAGAGAATCGATCTTTGGGTATAGACCCCATATATACAATAATGCCCAACCCCTTTCAAATAAATGTTGGAGCATGTTACAACTATGCGAATATATTAAAATAGTAAGAAGTGACGTTTCGGGATCTTGGTGGGTAACCAAAATCTTTATAAAAAATATTCATTATAATTACTTTCTTCAAAAAATAGAGTCTGTATCATTCTCCCAAAGGCCTTTGATCAAATTTTCCATATGGAACCAATCTTTTAATACAATACATTTTTTCGCAAGGAAAACAAATTAGATAGGTGAAAAACCTTAGTTCTTTGCATGTTTCATTCTCGATATGCCACAATTAAATAAAAAAAATTAAAATAAATATAAAATGATGAGCAATTGTTTTGCATCGTTTCTAGTATTTGTAGAATATGTATAAAAATATGTATAATGGATCGGAATTGATGCTGCTACCTATATATATGAAAAATAAATATATATTTAGATATATGCCAACGTCATGACGAAAAAAAAAAACACTTAGGCACAAATATATATACAAGACAATTTTCTATATATATAATATATATATATATATATTAGGGGGTACATATATATATACACAAAAATAAATCGTATTTGTGTGTAATATTGTTTGTTGCTGGTGTTGATCATCATTGGGGTATTAGTAAACAAATTCGTTGTTGTCTCGTTCGTTTGACCGTCCGTCGGAGTGTTTGTCTGTCCATTTGTATATCAGTCTGTCTGTTTGTTTGGTTGTTTGTTTGTCGTACGAATGAATGCCAAGAAATGTGTTTGTGGGCTAAATATTTGATGCTAATATTTTCTTCATATTCACCAGTCTAAAAATACCAAAAACAAGCAACAGCAACAACAACTACAACAAAAACATGACCAAAATCTTTGGGAAAGGAAATACAAAGAAAATGTCTACACTTATGCGACTGTTCTCGGCAATTCATAGGTTTAGTATTGAAGCAAAATTCCTTGCTAGAGATTTTCATTTTTTTTTCGGTCCTCAACAAAACCAAAAACAAAAATTTAAACGACAAATCACATTTTTAACGCCAACGAAACGAAACGAACATCATAAAATAATAATTATTAGCAATAAAAATAAATAATAAAAAAATAATTCTTTTTTTAGTCTCTCGAACAAAAAAATAGTGAATGAAAATTTTAGAAAAAAATTTTTGGAAAAAAAAATAACGACATAAAAGAAAAATAATTTCAAAACGAAACTCGACTCGAGAAGTGAACAAATATCATGTTTTATAAGTGAGTTCAAGTGAGACAAACGAAGAACCCAATTAAATATTTTCTGAATTCCTGAAAACGAAGCTAAAGCGAGAGAAGAACCCCAAGAACTAAACGAATCGATTGCCAACGACGACAACATTATGCCCTTTGTTGCCCCCAAGACAACAAGTTCAACACCATCCTCCACCAGAACCACATTTCGTCCACCATGGGTTAAGGAGGATGGTGGTTCGGTGCTGAAGCCCGTCAATAAGACCTCAGTGCCTTGGGCGAAGAAGCCCAGTGAAACGGCTGCAGCATCCACGGCCAGCAAGGATGCCGATAAAACCACAACAAGTAACAGTATTTTGAAGAAACCCGCAAGCAATTTGAAATCCACCACAAATGCTGAACCCAAAAAACCGCTGGAAACCAATAACAAGGTAACGGAAGCGGTAAAGAAACCGGGTATCACTGCAGTGAAAAAGGAACCCGTCTCAGCCCTAAAGAAACCCTCAGCAGTTAGTGCAGCCAAGAAAAAGGAGCCAACACCACCCTCATCTTCTTCCGAGGAAGAAGAAGAGGAGGAGGAAGAAGAAGAAGAAACTGAAGAGGAAGAAACCGAGGAAGAAGAATCCGGCGAAGAAGAGGAATCCGAGGAAGAAGAATCCGAAGAAGAGGAATCCGAAGAAGAAGAATCCGAGGAAGAGGATACCAGTAAAAATAAGAAACCCACTCCAACAACAAATAACAAAACCAACACCACATCCACTGCTGCTGCAAAGAAACCTACCACCACCCCCGCAACACCCTCAAAAACACCAACAAAGTCACCCGCTGCCGCCAACAAAAAGGACGAAGAAGAAAGTGAGTTAAAACGCCGTTTCTCCATTGAGAAACCCAAACTTAGACCCGTTGTTGTCAAACGTGATAAATCAATGAAAAAAATCGAAGACGACGACGAAGCCGTAGAAGGTGAAACCGAAGAGGATCGTGAACGTAGATTACGTTTTAAATTAGAAAAACCAAAACTTAGACATGTTAAACGTGAAGAGAAACCCTTGCCCAGTAAGAGTAGCGAGAATATTCTAAAAATAAGGCCCGTCCTCAAGAAGGTACCCAAAGTCGATGAGATATTAAAGGAACCCAAAGAGGAACCTAAACCCGAATTTAAAACAAAAACATTACGTAAGACGCCGTCGATTAAACGTGAACCGAGTATCAAAAATGGTAAGTGTGAAAAGGTTCCTTGCGTCCCTTTAAATGCCTCAACAACTTCTAAACTCTTACTCAGCAAAACCAAAAAAATGGCCTTATTTTGAAAACATGCCGCAACCACCAAGCAATAACAACAACAACAGCAACAACATAACATGTTTTCTTTCTTTTCTTGTTCTGTTCCGTTTAACTTCCTAATTTTTTCTTTTTTTCTCGTTTTTTTGGAAATGATGTCTAAATCTGGTTAATCTAATTTTTTTGGCTTTAATCTACGCGCCAGTATTCTACTATTTATTTTTAAAATTAAAAGGCTTTCAAATCCTCTAACTAAAAAAAGCGAAAAATAACAATAACAACAAAAATATTTTTAATATACAGTGATGGTCAAAACATTAGGGAAATAATAACTAATTTGAAATCATTTTTTAATAATGCTTTGCGGAACTTTACAAACACCAGTTTTAAAAATAGTTTTTCTATTTTTATATAATTCCCGTTTTTCTCGAGCACAAATTCAATTGGTGAAGATTTTTCCCTATTTATACCCCTCACCCCACACTGTGATACAGCGTATTATTATCATGTTTTTGTAACATGGAAAGGATAACGAGATGGACCAATAATTACTTAACGGTTATACCTAAAATCAATTTCCGAGTCGATTTATGAATGTCCGTCCGTCTGTCCATTTATTTTTGCAAATGAAATTTGGTACAGCACATTTATTTGGCTCAAGAATCAAGGAACCCTATTCAAATTTGTGAAAATCGTTTCAGATTTTATTGTCCATATATATTTTTGTCCGATTTAATCCAAATAGCAAACGATTGGGGCGAAATTTTACACAACGTACCAAATTGAGCTTAGAATGACGTCTATTGTTCGTTCAGATTTAAATATAATTACGGAAATATATTTCGGCCTATTGATCCATAAGGTTCCAGTTATGGGCAAGGACAACGCCTAGAATTTTCGGTGATGATCAGATAATAATTTTGGAATGAAGTGGACCGAAAACTTAATTCTTTTTATGTTATTTTCGTGTCGATCTATAGACCACAAATGAACATCACAACACAAATTTGCTGGGGAAAATATGTCAGTGTGAGGAAAAGGTGCTGTTTACCTCTAATCGGGCAAGAAGGTGCAAATATCACGAAATATTGCCCAGGCTCGGAATAAACATCATCAGTTTAGTCCGATTTCCTACAAATGGTTCACAAATTCCCCAAGTCTGTCCGATTGACTCGAAGTTTTGCATAGATTGCATTCACAGTCAATCCTCTAAACGAATTGAGATAGATCGCCAAATTTTGTATAGAGTTGTCTTTTGTCTGCAGGCATATCAGTTCGAAGACGGGCTATATCGGTCCACGTTTAGGTATATCCCCCATATATGGGTACTCCCCAATTTTCGGTCTTTTGGGGTTCTTGAGCGCGTTTTTCACCAAATTCACTGAAATTTCGTAAATGGGGTATGACTATTAGAGGGTGTCACTATTATGGAATATCACTAGTAAATTATAATTATGGGACTAACTTTTCTGGTAGCCCCCATAAAACGGTACCATAAATTTTCAGTAATTTGGGGGTTTTTAAGCGCATTTTCGGCCGAATTTGCTTTAGTTTGACACTTTTCGTTCTTAATGGATACTAAAACTTTCCACTAAAAATTATAAATATAGGTCAATTTTTTCGGGTAGCTCCCACATAATGGTACTCCCAATTTTCGGTACATTAAGTCCTTGAGAGCGTTTATCAACCAAATTCGCTAAAATTTAGTACATTGTGTACATATTAAGTACTAAATCTCTCCGCTATAAATATTAAATATAGGCCCACCTGTTCGCGTAGCGCGTTTCCAACCGAATTCGCTCTAATTTGGTATTTTGTAGTCGTATATGGTAACAAATCTCCCCCTAAAAAAGGGTGAATATTAATATTTTTATACCCTCATGCCTCATCGAAATATTGGGTTTAGACCCCGAAGGTCAAAATTTGCTGAAAATTAATTTTGTAATATCATGCGAACGGACTATTCGATTTGAGCCAAACTTTGTACAACCTATTATCTCCGCCAAGTCCTAAGATGGGGCCCATTGGTCCACTCCCTCTGGTACCTGACCCACAAATGGTCAAAAGTTTCAATATTTATAGATCGAATATTAGGAGAATTGAATGTTAGATTTCAACCAAACTATACATATAGATCCAACTACTTCTGGTACCTCCCCCACAAAGGGTAAATATTTTTTCAGGTGAATATTTCGAGGTTTGCATACAGAGTGACAAATATATGATGGAGGATATAAAAATAATATATAGAGGCTATGCCAAAAATATATCAAACCAGTGAGCGGAGCAGTATAGTCGGACGACCATATGATATCCTTCATAACTTCCACGAAAACCTAACTTTCTGTGATTCTATATTTTGAGCATGGGCAATATTTCGCGATATTTGCACCCTCTTGACCGCCTAGAGGTCAACAAATATTACTAATATTCAGTACAGCCATTCTAATTACTTGCCCTGATTCCCTTCATCGTAGTTTGTTTTGGGATGTTCGGCTTTTAATTGTGGCCTATAGATCGACTCGAAAAAAGAAAACACAAAAAATTAAGCTTTTAAACCCACTGTATACCAATATTGTTATCTGATCATCACCGAAAACTATAGGCGTTGTCCTTGGCCATACCTGGATCCTCATTTCATCCACTAAATATTTACCGATCTTCACCAAAAGCTATAGTGATTTTCATTGGCCAGAACCCATCCTACATGCAAAATTTCTTGAAGATTGGTACATAACTGTGGTCTGTACCGTGTTTACAAATTATAATGGACAGATGGACGGACATACATGGACATAGATCGACTCAGCTAGTAGAGGTGGTTCTAGGACCAATATTTCAAAACCTCGATCTAGCAAATCATTGCTTAAACTTAAACAGGCCCCTACATCCACTATTTAATTATCAAAAATTATATTAAAATTCAATGAATATAATATAATGCATTTTAATGCCGGTAATATTATGGTATACAAGTACTGATTAGGAAAAATCCAATATGAAAAACCACATCAAAGATATATATACATATGAACTATAGGACTTTATTTAACATGCTTCGGAATGCCCGATTTGGCCAAAATATGCACCGTTTTCTTGTATGATTTGTTCCCATTTTAAAGGTAACTTCATAATGCCTCTCTCATAGTCCTGCTCTCTATTTGCATACCAATTTGTTATCATTAAAGAAATTTTGCAATGCAAGAAAAATATGATAATCGCTTGGTGCCAGTCTGTATGGCAGATTCGTCACTGTAGATGTTTGCGGCCTAGCGGTGTCCTGGGCGATGTTACGACTGCTAACATTCCGGTCAACTTCGATAATTTCTCCGATTTTATCAATATTTTCGACAACCGGACTAACTGTGCGATGTGCATCTTTAACTTAAAAAATTCCTGAACGGAATCTACGAAACCAAAATTGCACATAATTGACTGTTACAGTATCGGAACCATAAACACCATTCACAATTTTAGCCGCTTGGCTTGCATTTTTTGCCTTTGTCAAAGAAAAACTTGAAATGTTCCGTATTTTCTCCTTTTTCACTTCCATTTTTACCACCCTGTAACTCACAACTGAATGAACCAAACAAAAAACAGAAGAATATTTTTTTACTGCGAAATTTCACCGTTCCAACGAGCATAAATCTGAAATTGTTTGATCTATTCTTTACGAGAAATCTATTAGTACTGCCATCTGCCGAAAAAAATAGTGGATTTCTTTTTCCCCAACCTAATATATATATTATGGGGTCTCAGGTGAATATTTCGAAGCTTGCAAACAGAGGATAAATAGAATGTATACACCTATTGTGGTGGAGGGTATAAGAATAATATGTAGGGGCTTTGACAAAACTATATCAAACAACAACATCAAAACCTCGATCTACCAAATTACTAATTATTCACTTCAATAGGCCCCAACAGGTTACAATATCTACTATTGAATTAGCAAAAATTAAATTCAAATTCAATTACGAATATAATGCAATACATTTTAATGCCGATAATATTCTGGCATTCAAGTACTGGTTAGAGGAAAAACATATGGGCCCCACAGCGAAAATAAAAATTATTAATCAATGAGACCTTGACCCAACGTCACTTATATGGTAGGATTCACATGTATGTGATTATATAAAAATATATAAAATTCATAAAGCACCGAACAATACCTTCAAAAAATTTAAAATTACAAATCTAATTCCGCAAAATGTTTTGACCTTCACTGTATGTAAATATATAAAATAATAATACAAAAAACATTTACGATTTGATGGTTGTTATCTTTTAAAAAACGACGCCCACCTCCTACTGCTTCCCTTAAAAGAAAAATCGAACAGAGGGAGGAAAATCTACCTCCCCCACAACATTTTTAAAGAAAAATCGCATAGTTTTCTGTGTGTGTATTGTTTTTTTACTTATGACCTCTGTGTAAATCGAGAACAGATGTTATCAATTATTGATCTGCCACCAGCTCTAAGCACAACAAAAAAAAATGGTTCAAATGAACAAAAAAACGAATAACAACAACAAGAAGCAATTCAACTCGATATGCCGTGTTTAATTGGGTCATGCAAATCTCTTGTTGCTACTTTTTTGTTGTATTTGTTTTCTTTTTTAATTTTTCATTCTAGCTGTATAAAAAGTGTTATTTGTACATACACAATTACATTTTTTTCCATTCGCCCTGTCCATTTTTTTCATAGAAAACAAAAAAAGAACAAATTCCTGAAATGTTAAAAACGCAAAAAAAAAAAACAAATTCATCCTTTCTCGCCACACCACATTCAATATTGCCCCATATAAATTCACACTTCATTTAAATTTTTCTGCAACAATAACAACAACAAAACAAAAAAGTGGAAAAATGAAAAATTCACATTCTCTCGCAGCTATGGTGGGGAGTTTCATAGTCGGCGGTTAACAGCAACAAA